AGGATCAAGTGCCAACCCCGCCCACTTCGAGGATTTGGCCACACTTGTTCTTTTACACCTCGACACCTTTTTGCCGCATCAAAGAACGCTTCTGAGTAGAGTTATAATTTTTGATTTAAGCTCCGCCCCCTTTAGTGTCAACCCCGCCCAATTCTGGGATTTGACTACATTTGTCCTTTTACACCTTAACACCCCTTTGCCGCATCCCAGAAAGTTTCTTAATGGATTTATGAATTCTTGCGTGAGCCCCGCCCACTTTAGTGCCAACCCCGCCCACTTCTAGGATTTGACCACATTTATTCTTTTACACCTTAACACCTTTTTGCGGCATCCCAGGAAGTTTCCAAGTAGAATTATATATTTTTGATCTAAGCTCTGCCCACTTTAGTGCCAGCCCCACCCACTTCGAATATTTGGCCACTTTTGTTCTATTACCTCCAACCACTTTTCCCGCATTCTACAATGTTTCCAAGCAAAGTTGCATTCGTTTTTGAAAAGTGGCTTTCGTCTCAACGCACGCCCCGCCCATCGTGGGCGGGGCTTCGCTAAGCTTACGCATGCCCAGCACGCATAAAGCCCTGCTCACTCTTTTCATTTTTTTTCTGGCCTCTGCGCCTTAATTGAGTCGAGTTATGAATGCATTTGAAAAGTACCGCCCATGTTGAGAAAGCTTCGCCCACACACGTGGGTCTCCTCCGTCTGGTTTGTTGATCCAACCCTCACCTTTGAACATTTTTCTCCGGTGTCTGAACTTTTTCGAAAAATAAGTTGTTTGACTGTTGGCACCGCCCATTCCGGCACTTGCCCCGCCCCCCATGGGCGGAGCTCCGCAGAGCTCGTATGTGCTCTATTAATTTTGTCTTGGGCTCCACCCAGCCCGAACTTGTCCCGACCTCTGAAGATGTTTTTTCAGATAATACCGAAATTTGCGACGACAAACAGACAAACAGACAGACAAACGGACAAACCGACACACCAAACTTGCGGTTTATGTATAGTGAAGATTTTATGTTTCAGTTTTGTTCTTAGCTCGCAATTTTGATCCTAAATTGAGTGCTGTCTGGTGTTGCTGTAGTAATCGTGCACCTTCTACTCGCTTTGTTCTTAATTTAGTAACAAAATCCTGTCTTGAATGAGGGTGTATGAAATTTTGTACGGAATGGCCACTTCTCGCCTAGGTGCGAAAACTTGGGAAAAACTGACGCCGATTATGCTATTTACGAACTAGTGAAAGATGAAGTGTTGAAGATGTATGATGATAGCAGCAGAAAGAAATCCGGGCATCTATAGCAAAAAGGCATGTTTTCGAGCAAGAGTTATGTGTATACCATGTGTGAAGGTTGAAATAGAAGCTGCAACGGACTGAGATGCTTCGATACGGCCGACTTGGGGAGAGCTCTATTGACTGGATGTATATCAGTGATAGCGACGAGGAATAAATATTAGGAGATATGAAGCATAATACAGTGCGTTTCATAATTTTAAGGTCAACCTCAAATTTTGCGCTTCCAGAATAAGCAGTCATTTAGGATTTTTTCTAGCACCATGAACGGATCCCTCAGCAGGAATAACCCAAGCATGCGTTTTTTAGTAGCAGCTGCATTCTTCTGAACTTTTTTAGAACAGTTTATCGGTTTTCGCACCGTTTCATAATTATAAGGTCACCCTGAGAAAGTAGAGAATTATTTATAGAGGAGAGGAAATTTCGTCATTCAAAATACTTATAAAGGTAAACATGTGTAGCAAATACATTTCTACACCTCACTGTCAACATGGCTCGTGGTCGTATGCTTTCCCCTGATGAGAAGCCTCAAATTCGGGCTCTTCATGAAGCTGGGCTCAGAAAGCGAGCAATTTCCAAGCAAATAGGGAGATCCCTCTGCTCCATCCAAAGACTTCTGGAGAGCCCTGATGTCCCTAGATGTGACATCTACTGTGGACGCCCACGCAAGGTTACTACCCGTGACGAGCGGGAGATTCTGAGGGCTGTTTCCAACAGTATGTCCTCCTTGAACCAGATCCGATCGGAATTAACTCGTTGACGACAACGCACGTTTAGTCATCTTTGACCGCGTGAGACAGATGCTATTTTGCTGCCTAGTCGACCGCGGGGCACATACGTCCCGTGCTGTTACTCGAGGCGCGATTTTCGAAGCTTGAGTGTGAAACCTACTTTTAACTACTTATCGCTACTTAGTAAGTTGATTAATACAATGAAAAGTACACAATGGTGTTCTGTATCCTACTCTATATAATTCGCTAAATGTGTCTGTTGGTGTGTCGGTGTGTTTGTGTGTGTGTGTGTGTGTGTGTGTGTGTGTCGGTGTGTATGTTTGACCGGAAATTCATAACTCCTGTTCCCGTGGACCTAGAATGCTCAAATTTGGTAGCAGTACAGGGGGCAGCATAGAAACACTTATGGTAGGTGGCAGGACCGGACTCTGCCCACAGTGAGCGGGGCGTGCGCGATTGAAATTTTATGTCGCAAATTCATAACTCCTGTTCCAGTGGACCCAAAGCGTCCAAAATTGGTAGGAGTACAGGAAGCAGGATACAGGAAGGATAGCAGGAACACTGATGGTGATAACTATTGAAGAGGAGGTAATAAAGAGCCTCGATAGGCGAGAGCCACAGGAACCGTTACTTATTTCCTGTTAACGGCAGGGTTTTAGCACTCCGGAAAACTGTTAGAGGCTGATAGAAACTGATAAGGGGCCAATAAGTCTGCAACGTCTTTCATTCTAACAACTGAGCATTCCAGTAGATAGTGCAGGATGTGAAGGGACCCAAGTTAATTAGTGATAAGGACAGATAATAAGAAGCGAGCAAGCGTTGCAATCCCCTTCGTGCCAACAGTGGAACCTTTTCAGAGACGGTAATGTAGGATGTGACGTTGCCGTAGGTACTCTGTGACAGTGACTGATAACAGCTGATAAGAACTGATAAGGGCCCTTAGAGAGCGAAAGGGTATTCATGATCAAACACTGACTCTTCAATGCTGTAAATGCTGTAGTAGCGACCGATCAGAAACATTTCTCCATAACGAAATGAGAATATTGTTCATTTCTTGCTATTAAACTACGACCGTTGCGCAGTAAGCTTTGTGACACAGTGAAGCACCACAACTCCTTTTTGTTTTGTGACATATCATTTGTGACTAAACTCGTCTGACAGCTAATGTTCTGGGACTCCTAATTAATGAAAAATCCGTGGAGGAAATGTTGCATCGATAATGCCATCTGTGATGGGCGTTATTATCCATTTCTGGGTACCATTCAAGACATTGGTTGTCAATCAGTTAAGCCATCAATGTGACACAATTTCGAGATGAAGAGCAATGAGTCGAGGCTTCTAATTAGTATATAATTAATAATTATAGTGCAGAAGAAATCGCTCGCATTTTGGAGCTAATACTGAGGGTGTAGAGCTTTCAAAAAAAAAGCAGAAATTGAAGGATATTTACGCATAGCAAATTTCTTACAAGAAGGAAAAGCGCCTGGCAAATCCGGGCGACATTAAAAGGAGGGAAGCTCGGCGTTAGCCGGGCGGCCCGTCTGGTAATAAATATTCTGCTCTAACAAATGCTTATACGGACATACAAATGGCTGGAATAGAAGGAAACTTGGAAGATACTTCACAACTCGACCATGTTCTGACGCCGAAGTGCGAAGTGAGGAGATCCAGATTACCGGAGTATGCGCGAATTTGGACGACGGAGAGCAAGGAGCTACTGAAGAAGAAGTACATGATATGGAAGAAGATTTGGAATCTAAATCAGAATAAGAACAATCCTATAGTAAAAGCATTTCATCCTGGTCAAGCGATGCTTCGCCGCACGATGCTTGGACTTTTAGTGGTGTCTCCGGCTTATATGATGTCGTTTGTGACTGTCAGGAACCAACAGACTTCTACGAACTGTTTCTGTATAGAGAGATTCTGGGCCCCATCGTTAGAGAAACCAGTATCTAAGGGATTCGACGAAATGAATAGTTTCAATGAGAATGAGCGCTGATGAAATGAGAAAACATTCATTCAATAGCTACTAACTTACCTTCAATAGCTTGCCTCCAGGTTCTTATTTTGCTTGCTTGTTGATCTCAATATAAATGCCGAAGTTTAAAGTAGGCCCGAAATTTTGTGAGGCTCAGAAAAATTGCGCAAAGGTGAGGCATATCTGATCGTTTCATGGACCATTACGTTTATAGCTTTGTTACTGTTTGATCTGTAAAATAAACACCAAAAAACACTTTAATAAATCACGAATGCGCTTAAAAAATTGCGAGATGAGCGCGGAACTCGTCAACGTGTTAAACCTCTCTGTGTCGAAAACTACAGTCTGGAGAGCAGTAAGAAGATGCGAGAACATCACTAGGCAAGCAATGAAGAAGGCGTCACGAATCACCGATCGCCACACAGAGACTCGACTCGA